ATCTCCATATCGATCTTTACGGTTACGTTCACTTCTTAGCATCATTTCTGCATTTACGTAGCTATGCAAAATATAAAGGAAAATGAAAGCTATTAAATATAACGGGTCTCGGCAAGAATCAGGTCCTAAATGGACGGAACAAAAATAACCCTTTGAAAACAAAGTAATCAGAATTTACAACACCCGCAATAACAAAGGCGGGTCTTTGGGGTGATGTTAGGTAAGGATGACATAAGATTATCGACCAAACGCTTAAGAAGGAGTAAAAACACACCCTGTTGTCACGCTCTGCATTATGGCAAGAAAATAACTCTGTACCTTGCCACGCTAAGGTCACACGTCCAAGCGCCGCGGCTTTGTTCGGGCATTAGGCTGTTTGCACAACATATTTTGCCAGTTTGCCCTGCGAGAATATTGTGTATTTTACCTACACGTTTTTCTGTTTGTTTACTGGTATACTTTAGTTTGAGCATTTCTTGTGACCTGATCTTCGTATTGAGCCCGCCTCCCTGCCCATGGCAGGGTCATTCTACGCTGCTCACCTACCATGGGAGTTGCATCTAGAAGACTCAGGAGAATCGAAAGGCCGCCTCAGGTTATGCGGTCGATAATATGCGTCCATTATAGACATGGAGAAGTCGTCTCAGAGCCTCCTCAGTCCTCCTCTTTAAATGTCGTAGTCTCCCACTTTCTCTTCTTTTTATTTTATTTTTAATGCTGATGCGTTTCTATTTCCAGAAATGACGTCATTGCGCGATGCTCACTTGTTTTGCGGAGATGGAAGCGGGAGGTAAACATGGAAAAATGTCAGAAGGGTGAGAGTACAGACCGTCTACCAGCTCCAGTTTTCCATCCCTGAGGTAATAAAACCGTACTTTAAATTCAATATGTACAACGTTGTGGTAAAAACTAACATATCCTCAAAGTTTCTTGTTATTTTTTTCCTTAGCCTTATCCACCAACATCGACACATAACTGCAAACATACAAATACATTTACTCTCTCTCCCCCCCACCTCCTCTCTTTCTCTCCCTCTCCCTCCCACCTCTCTCTCCCATGTCTGTCTGTCTCTCTCCCATCTGTCTGTCTATCTGTCTCTCTTTCTCTCACAAGTGTCTGTCTACCTGTCTGTCTGCTTCTCTCTCTCTCCCTCCCTCTCTCTCACAATATTGCTAATTGACTCTTGACACCCCTGACCCGTGCCAAGGGACCTTTGCAAAGCAGCCTAACCATGATGGGAGATCCTGGACTTGCCAAACAGAAAGTAGAAATACCTTTCTGTTTGACTAGGTCATATTTTGTCACGCACAACACCAGTGATGGTTAGTATGTCTACAAATGACACGGAAAAAAATGGCGGTAAGTGCCATAGCCCGTGTGAGTGCCTTGGGTCGAGGGCTACAGAAAGAAGGTCTTTGCTGGATTTTCATTACCTTTTACCTTCTTGAAAACAACTCGATTTTTTTCTCTTCTTTCCTCTCGTTCTTTTCTGTCATCTTACCATTTCCCCTCCCTATTCTCTTTTCGCCTTCTCGTCAAATCAGTGTCTTACTCTCATTCTCTCTGTCTCCGTCTCTGTCTCTGTCCGTCTCTCTCTCTCTCTCTCTGTCTCACCTTTCTTAAGACCACTTTCCTCTCTTATCCAGGGCCAATTTCACGCCCCGAGGAGAGAAGGAGAAAAGGTCAAAGTGGACATGGGGACGAAGGTGGAGGAGAAATAACAAGAAAGTTAAACAAGGGAAAAGGAGAGGAAGCAGAGCACGTGGAGAAGGCAGAACAAAGCAGCAGCAGAGGGCTGGAACTGGGATGTCTGCATGACAGAGGATCAATACCGGAGTGAAGCAAGTAAAGCCGGTCACTCCAGCCTTGCACACCCTTCTGTGTGGCACTCCTCTATGAGGCTCTGAAGCCACTACCCCGTCTATGATGTCTATGCAGCCCATTTCCCGCCGTGGGATCCTGCTGTCACTCCCATTTCTGCTGCGAGAACGAGAGGCACCGAGGCGACGGGGCCAGTCTGAAATATTCCGACTCACGTGCGTGCGAGAACAAGCACTTCCTCCTTGCCGCCCTCAGCTCCACTCCCTCGAGCATGTACGCGATCCATGCTCTCCCTAATTGCATCACGGAATGACGACGGTAATGAATCACATGATCTCGGATTATCAACGGTTTCATCTTAAAAAGAAAGACAGAAAAAAGAACGGTCGGCAAAAACATCAACGAGACCCGCTGACGGCCAATCTTTCCAACTTATCACTGTATAAATCACCCTGGCCAAACATGCGGGTGATGAAGGCTTCAAAACATAAACTAGAGGAGGAGCGTGAGATAGGAGGGAGGGGGTTAAGGAGGGAAGGCAAGTGAAAGGGAGGAACGGAGACAGGGAGGGAGGGATGGAGGGAAAGAGCGAGGACAAATGGCAGGAGGTTGGGAAATAATGGAGAGGGAAAGTAGGGAGATAGAGAGAGGAAGAGAGGGAGATAGTGACTGAAGGAGG